TATTTTATTTTATTTATTATTTACTTATTTCTACTTATGATTTGAGGTTGACTTTTATAATGATTTCCTACTTCTAAAATTTACCGTTTTCGAAATAATTTTTCTTTTTTAAAAAGTAGCACCGAGCAGTAAATAGCAAAAAAGCATGCCTAGTGTACAGTAAGAAAGCTAGAGCTACATTACTCTCAGGAAAGATAACTATAACTTTCCTTCCATACTTTCAAAGTAGGTTAAGTACATATAGAGTGTTAGATATATAATGGCGGATTTGATTAACTTTAAACAATCGTAAATTTTCAAGTTGAATACCCTATATGTATTTCCATAGCCTTATACAGAAATTTATTGTCTTTGAGTGGTTCCCTATACACATCTCCTTTAATTTTCAAATTACTTAGTGTTCTTTGTAACTAACATTGTTTATTTTTTTACAAATATGAACTTCCAAACAAATATAAGATAATTGTTGTCACTCAAAAAACCCATACTGATGGTTTAGTCATTAAATATTTTGATACTCAATGTCAATTACTCAATATTATTTTTATGAAGAATGGAAAATGAAAATACCTATTCAAATTGAGAATTTTAAGAAATCAATTGCAATATGGTAGACTACCGTTAACAATAGTAAAAAAAGCAAATAAACAGTTAATAAAGTAAATAATTAACAATATCAGCTGATATATGCAACCTATTCGAAATGCAATTTGACAAATATGTGATAAAATTTAAAACGCGTTCTGGATACAGATATCGGTTAATGGCCTATTTCAGTAATTGTATGCATATGTACCTACATCATTAGCTACAGTAAAGAAAAACTTCAATGAATGAAGTTTAAGAACACCCACATTGAAAACAATATCTCACTATAAGTATAATCGTTCGTATTGTACAGTAACATAATTCAAACATATTATGTATGACTATATTATATTAAGAATAATTATATAAAAATAATAGTCCTTTGTATCGATTCTAACTTAAAAATCACCATACTCATTAATGAATACATAATTATTTTACATCATATCTTATGTGATTTTATTTATTGGATTACGCAAAATATGGGTTCAGAAGTAATTATTATTTGGTAGTGTCTTTTCACAAACTAAACTTTTAAAGGTAAAGCGGCTTCTTTATTTTACGAAGTTCAATATGTCGATAAGCATTTTCGCCAATTAGGAATCGATTGTAATTATTCTTTTTCAAAAATAATCAGAGGAAGATAATAAAAATAATAGGAGAAATTAGCGTAACCTCTTTATTTCAGATCTTTTCGAATTTTACTCCTTAAAAATCGATTTCATTTTAAAACCCTGGTGAGAAAATTTGATGCGTAGTAAAATCGAGTGTTAACAAAAACAGTGAAGTTTTTTTAAAATTATTTAATATTAGCGCCATCTAAGCAGAATATTTCAAAATATAACTTTTTGTAACATAGTGATATACGTACATGCCTGGCAATAGATGGCAGCACATCTATTATTTTTCAGAAAGCAATATGGGTACTCAGTTTGCTAGACAAATATCAATAATCAATTTGTGGAACTATGAAATTAAAATTACATCTGTATGTAACACGATTTATCCATAATATTTTTTCGAAACAATATAAATTATTATGAATAATAGTATAACGTTACATTTCAGTATTATAATGTATATTTAGACAATCGCACTTTCAATTAAAGGGTAAAATCGCGCGTCGCAGGTAACACGTACAATTTTTACTTAAATTTTGTCCATATTGGCAACATATATTTAAATGTCAGTGAATTTGAAGCATAGTATCCAACAAAACGGCCAACAATTGTTGTAAATTAAATATAGTCTATTACCCTTTGCCCCGTTTCCGTCATATATTCTGAACTCACCATTAATATGTGTAGAATAGCTACTACTGTTTTCAACATAACAAACATTCGGAACTTTCGCGAGTTTTGGAAACCTCGCACTCAATCAAATTACATGAATTTTGTGAAGCTAAGCGTTACATAAATGGAACTACATAAGCCTTCTAGACGATGAGTCACTAATATTAATAATCTGCCTAAATAAAATTATCAATTTTTGAAGTGAAACTTTTTTACGCACGGTAAGGTAAGTTTGTTTCATGCGAGTTGCTATGTAACGAAATCATGCAACGCATTTCCCCCGCTGTCTATCCCTGTGTATGCTTAGATCTTTAAAACTTCGCAACGGATTTTAATGCGGTTTTCATTAATAGATGGAGAAATTCAAGAGGAAGGTTTATATGTATAATACATGCATAATATAGTAGAGAAACACTAATAATTTTACAGGTTTGTAATGTGATGTCGTAAATAAACACATTTTTTTGCGCTTACATTGCAAACGCTGGCTGAACCCTACGAAATAGATCAAAATAATATACTACAGTATTGTACAACTTAAAAAGGTCTACAAAAAAGTCCACGATGGTTTTTTACGAGAAATAATGCCTTATTTACGAAGCGATTTTAAGCAATATAGCATTAATCCTTATCCA